TCCATCTGAACCTGAGAAAAAACTTCTTCACTGTGAGGGTGACTGAGCATTGGCACAGGTTGCCCAGAGAGGTGGTGGAGTCTCCTTCCCTGGAGATATTCCAAACCCGTCTGGAAGTGATCCTGGGCAATATGCTCTAGGTGACCCTGCTTGAACAGGGAGGTTGCACTAGATGATCTCCAGAGGTCCCTTCCAACCTAAACGATTCTGTGATTCTGTGACATGCTACAAGCTCCAAAATCACAATTAACACAGAGGAGAGGCTATTTGCTGCTGCTCATGGCAGCACGAGAGTGAGCGAGGACCACGTAAGATCCTGGGAAAGCAGATTCAACAAGGGGCAGAAGGAGGTTCCTTGGCACGCGTGCCAAATTTAACTGCGCCAGGCAAGCGAGGAGCTCTTGGACCTGACCATGTGGCAGATGCTAAGGCTGAGGAAGCTGAAGTCCGTAAAGCTAAGTGACATGCACAGGCTGGGGCCCTGGCTGCTCGTGCTGGTTCCAGCACAAAAAGAGGGCACACCAAGTAAGCTGGGAAGAGCTAGGTTCAGAGCAGACACCAGCAGGCAATACTTGGCATTGGGTCGTTGACCTGTAGGATGCCTTTCCAAGCGATGCCACGGATGCTGCAAGTTTACACCGGTTCAAGGAGAGACTGGATCAGCTCATGGAGAAGAATGAGTTAAAGGTTCCCACATACTCAGACCCGTACCCAGCTGAGGCAGCTCCTGAGTGGGAAATGACTGGGAAAATACTATATATGCTTGCCCTGGTTTTATATTCCTTCCGAGGAAATCCTTACAGGCTGCTGGAGACAGGACCGTGGGGGAGACGAGCTTTTGGTCTTAACAAGGACAGATGTTTTTAAGTTCTTTGCAAAACATTCTGAACAACTTAGCGCAAGGAACGCTATGAAACCCACTCAAATTTGGAAGGGGACAGTTTATCCAAAACATTTCTGGACTGGGCTTAATTGAGTGAAGTAGTCAAATCCAGACTTCAAGAAAGGTTTCTATTAATTAATTAATGACGGACAAAGTTTTGAGGCAAGAACGAGGGAGCACTCAGTGAAACTTGCAGGACAACAAATTAAAATATATAAATAAAGTACGTATCTACGTATCAGGTAGCAGCAGGTCCAAAAAGGGATTAGACAAACTCATGGACAACAGGTCCATAAACAGACACTTGAAGAAGCAGGCAGGAATTTACCCTCTAACCTCACTAATAAAAAAATTCTGGATGCGAGGGCAGTACGAAGGGAGCAAACGACAGAAATGGCCAGGATGACGTTTTGACACTGTCAAAAGTAGAATGCTAGGCTAGACGGACCATCGATCTGATGCACTAAGGCATTTCTTACGTACTTATGGTAGCTCTTAATTTCCTCAAGTTGGTCGGAATATAGATTTTATCTATATACAACAACTACACGCATATAAGCATATAAGCCTAAATAACGATTTCCACGCTTTCAGAGAGCAAGTCTCCACTGATACAAGGCATCAGCAAATTTTGGTGGGACATAACAGACACTGAGAGCTTGGAAACAGGATTCCTCTGTTGTAAAATAGGACTTGAATGTGCATCGCAGGAGCTGTTACTTTCACTTTTGAGCTATTCCTCCACTCACAAAACTATTAACGTGCTGAAGACATCATGAAAGACTGTAACCTTGTAAAGGATCAATTCTAACTATGTTGAAGAGCATGTTTATTGTTATACTTAATCTCCTAAAACTTTCTCAGAGTGTTTCTGTGAAGAACAATTCTGCACTGGAAGGAAAACAGACAGAATGGTAAAGTATGTCCTTTTCACATCATACCGGTGGGACTGTTGATTGTAAATCTTAGATTATTGAATAAACTTCCAGGAATCTGTGTCTCAACCAGTATAATTATATCTAGCAAAGTATCTGGTGTAACTGATAGGTTGGAGCCATCTATTAGAGAATTCCAGACAGACTTTTTATAGTTTAAATGCTAGTACAAACTCATGCTGTTCTGATGGAATAGTGCTTTCTAGAACAGCAGACTGGAAATTATGTCTCTATGTAAAGAACAGTGGAAAAACTTGCACCATCTTGGTATTCATAGCTGGTGATCTTCCCAAATTATGAGGAACTGGCACTGCTGGATAAAAGTCATATTCTTCTTATGCTATGTGACAGTTCACCACCCTAGTGTAACTGGAAGCTTAACATTCTTGTAAAATGCACAGTGCAGTATTATGTGACTGCTATAATAATAAAATTACTGTAAAACTAGTGCCTCCAGGGGAAATGTACATAATATTTCTCCTGGAAAAGCTGCGTGTCACAACGCATCATCTCATACAAACAATAAGTCATTAGACGTGAAAGCAGCAAACAGGATTAATACATGTATCACACAGACATGATATAGTGTCTTTAGCATACGCTGCATGAATAGATCTCAATAACTGGCTGCTTAAACATTACATTGCTTCAGACCTTTGAAATCACAAAGCCAACACTCCGAGGAAGATTAACCACTGCTCCTTGTCAGTGCTGTCACATAGTCCATTGAAAGAACTTTCTCCCTACTGCTTTTCAAATCTGCACTGCCATTTAATCAATGCGACTCGCCTACCAAAGTCCTGCTCACTGCGCTTCACGCTCTCCTGCTGTCGCACCTACTCTCCTAGAGCCGGTCAGGCATTTCGCGGAAGTCGGAGGGTACGTCTCAGGACACACTTTGCTAGGCAGTCCCCCTGCTCCGCACGGCCGGGGTATGCTGGTGCACTTCCTGGAGCAACAGCTCCAGTCATGCAGCCTGGGACCTCGCCAGAGCCTACATCTGCTCACTTTTGGTCCCTGCTTACGCTCCTTTCTCTGGAAATCAGGGCACACGGAGAGAAGACAGCGTGTGCCTAGACTTCAAGGGAGGTTCATTGACTTAGGAGGAGATTAGGACTCACATCTAGGTCCAAGAAATACTTTTGCAGGCTTCGGTTTAGACATAGGCCAATGGCACTTCTTGTTGAATATTTACAGCTGTGCAAAGAATCTGCACATTTGTATTGTAGCTCTTTTGATTTTTATTCACACATTGAAATTTTCAGCAGATGAATCCAGATGCAAATCTATATGAATCTTTTACATGGAAAATTTAGACATTTTCATGGATGGCTCATTCAGGCATAGGGTCAGGAGAGTAGATTCAGACTCCTACCTGTTTATATCCCTCAGCAAAATGTTGCATCCCTAAACGCTATCTGTAATGCTTCTACATAACTGTTGCAAAAAACCAGATGAATTAAATTTGACTCTATTCGGCTCCTTTTGAGAGAGAGAGTGATTTTTGATGTCACGCACACAGGAAAAGTAATACATTGAAAAGGAAGAATTCTCAATGGAATGGCAAGATTGAGCACAGAAATACTATACTGTAATGGGATACTTTTTTCTCAGACAGTGATAAATTAAGAAGAGACTGTATTTAGTTTCTTCTTTGTTCAGAGACCTTGAAAAATATGATGCCCATGTGTTAATGTTTGAACCCACCCTCCATTCTTACTGCATTAGTCCTGCTCACAGTCATTCAATACAGAATCATGTGTGTAATCTGAAACATGTGTCAAATGATGTGTTCCCTATTTACCAATTATTTAATTAGCTTTATTTGTTCTTTGAGATACAGGCAAAGCAATATTTCTTTATTTCCTGTCTTTAAGTATGAACCGGTATTTGCCAAACAGTTGAGAAAGTATACAGATGTATGCTATTAATTTAGAAGAGCGCGTTAGAACAATATCAGTAACGTTAAAAAAAGAAGGCTCTCTTCTCGTTACAGAGACATGCTGCCATCCCCGGTTTCCCCCCCACGATGTGGAAATCAAGTTAAAAACTGAAGGGAATGGGTGTTGTGATACAGAAGTAAAGTATCACTTCACAAGGTGCTGTAGGCGATTAAATCACTGAAGACAATAAAATTAGACTTCAAAACTAGCAGGATTAGGCACTTAGTGGGTATAATATATTCCATACAAACTTTGAAACAAACCACTTTACTGAGTTGAATATTACATTTTTATATTAATTCTCAAAGAGAAGAAGCATTAAATGCTTAAGCAAGGAAGGCAAAGGTCAATTATAATATATTTATTTACATGAAATTTTTCACATCATCTTTCTACATCTACTGAACCGAAAATCTAGCCTTTCTCTATACTTCAATACACTAGGAAATAACTCTTCATCTTGACTTCAACTATTTGGTGTTAGGATTGAAACAGATGAGCTGGGAAGACGGTAACGAGAGCAAGGGGGGACCGCCGGGAGCCGGCGGGGAGGACTCACCCATTATACTGTCCGTGCCATTGGCTGGGGGTGTGCAAGAGGATGCGCTGTAATGATTCGTGCCACTGCGGTGGAAGGTGGACATCGGAGGAAGACTGGAATTGATGTCTGCTGAGGAGTGTGATGGGTAGCTCTGTGGCAAGAGGGATGAAAAAAACGGAAGCATCTTAAATGCCGAGAACATGCAAGACAGCAGGCTACTTGTATTGCTCCAGTCTCAAATACTGCCGTAATTCACCCAACAGAGAAAAGCAGAATGTTGTCGTGAGACAGAGGGACGAGCACATTTTTCTACTCAAATCTGACAGCTTCTTGAGGAGATACAACATGCACCTGTGGGTACTGAACATGCATAACATGTAGTGAACATGTATGAACATCTACAGTGGAAAGTTCGTAACTGATGGTGGTACGGCAGAAATAACAAGAAATTGTGATGTATCAAGCAAATCTCTGCGACAGGGACAGCTATTTGTTGGAGGAACAGTCTTCCAAGGGAAGTGGTAGAAACCCATACTGCTTTTGACATTTAAAACAAGACCTGACAAAGTACTGCAGAGCATGCTATAAGGAGACACGCTGGCACAAATGGGCACACCAGGTAATCTATTGGATCCATTTTTTTTCTCCTGTTGAGGTACCTCTATGCTATAGACAACCAAAAAAGGTGATGGATCAAGTTCTCTAAGCAAGTGCAAGACAAGTGTCTGGGTAACACATAGAAGACATTGATAGCTATACAGCTGGATTGACACAGACCTCCTTTACTGTGACACAATGTTGCTGCGGTTAAATTTTTGCTGAATTTACATTACTATAAACCTGGCTTCCATTAGTGCAGTTTGTCACTGTTAAATAGTCTTTTTTTAATCAGTGTAAGACACAGTGCGCAGACAAGTGCTAGAACATGCCCAGCTTTTATCTCCATCACAGCGCTGTTCCCAAAAGGAAGGGGTCATGCAGAAGATCTCCCGGTTCTGGAGACTCTCATACAACGGCTCATTGGAAATAAAGGTAGCTGGATACCAATAACTGAACAGTATCTACTCCGGGATCAAGGCATTATAATGTTAGTGCAACGTTAGCTTTGCACCCTCTGTCTCCTTATGCGGTTCAAAGTAAGCTGGCTAAAAACCATTTTTTCTTCATTTCTATTATTTAATTACTTTTGCAGGATTTTTTTTTAGTTTAGTACCAAATTACAGGATATTTGAAAGTTACACCAAAAAATGTAAATATATAGCCAAATCCTACTTTTCTTACCCGTGGAAAAACCGCCATGAACTCTGACTAAAGTCTGAATAAAAATTTCAGGCTTTGACTCATTTATAAACCACTCTCGGACTTCAGCCCCAAATCCAATTGGCTGAAACTGCACAGATGAACAGAACGTGTCATATGACTGAGAAACAAGTAAACAACGATTGTTTCGGTCAAGAGTCTAAAAACAAGCAATTCCATCTCCCCTGCTAAACTGCTGTTCCATGACACATACTGAAGTGGTGTTTTGTGATTTTCTCATTTCTCAGGGGAAGAAATCCAAACACTATTGCCAAACATTTTAGGCAAAACATGGGATCTGAGAACTGTTCTTTGTATGCAAAGCATCTATTTAGAAAAGCACTAATAAGCAATGAGAAACTAAGAATAATAAACAACAGCTCTCTGCCTGCCCCAGCACCTCCACCTCACTGGGAAGTTAGGAACATGTGCCGGGACTGAACTGAAACCACTCCAGCTTTCCTCAACAGGCTTTTCTTACAGTAAAACTGCTGACCTCTCATCGATGCTCCAAGAGAAATTACGCAAAGAGCACTTACAGAGTCCCTGTCTCCCTTCTGTCCCACTGCTACCTCAAATACAGAAGGCTCTGCTAGTACAAATATTTACAATAATTAATCAATATGAACTTCACAGGCACTGAGCACCTACAAGTCCCACTGGTGTCAATGTGAGATCTGAGGTCCCACCATCTCTGAAATTTCGAGCAAATAATTCCTACATAGAAGAAACATTCTGGAGAGTCTAGCCTGAATGTCCCAGCCCTCTTCACCTTGGGGAAATGTTTTAACTCTCCACGAAAACCATTATGCATTACAAGAAATCCAGACTCAAGGTACACGTAAAAGAAATGCAAACACGTTTTCAGACTTGCACAATGAAGGCACTCAGCTGTCTTAACTCCACCCTGAACTGATGCCATGCAAAAGCCTCCTAAATCTGATGAACTAGTATCAGTGTAGATACCAAATTAGATTAAATTGGGTTTTAAAGGTATGCTCAATTTTATAATATATGCTTGTCACTTCAGAGCAATGCTAAATTTGCTTAGTGCTCTAATTATGCCTTTTATAAAGACGTGATTAAGCAGTTTTTGAGGCAATTTCTTTTGCTTTTGACTTCCTATTAGTGTTACATAGCACTGTGTTAACCTCATTAAATTTGAGATTTGAAAAATTTGTTTTGCAAATAATTCTCAGTTTGCCAAACTGAGTTTAATTTGTCTAATTCCTAAAAGGAAGTTTCTTCTAAACTTCAAAGTAATAGACTCCTCCCTTAAAACCAGTACTTCTTGTTACTCTCCTTTTCAATGGTCTTCCAGAATGAAAAGGATAGGTACAAAATAGGAAAACAGTACTTGCAAAATTACATACATTTTCAGGAAAATGACTTCCGTTTTAGCAGTCTGTTCATCTCTTTACCAAAAAAAAAAAAACCAAACCAAAACAAATAACCCCCTCAAAAAAAAAATGGATGAAATCCATTTTCTTACTACATAATCCATTCAGCCATGATATTAGAATATCCCCTAAGCTGTGCTCCAATCAGATTTAATTCCAATTTTATTCCATTCCAATACAATAGATGGAAGTGGGGCAGCAACTTACTTTTGTGAGACATCAGGATGTCCCAGAGAAAACAAAAAATCTCCCATTTTTAGAAGCAGAAAATTTATGCTAGAAACCTATAAACTCGGAGAAGCAAAGGCTATTGGCAATCATAAACCATAAATACTAATCAGCATGCATGTGTGCAGCTCATACGTAGGGTGATGGTCAGGTAATGAACACAAACAGCTGATCAACTCTGTTCTACTGAAACTTAATCTAAAAGAACAGTCTACGAAAGAACTCTTTTCTCCTCTTTTCACTTCCCAGTCACACTAGCAGAGGTTGTGAGATGTATAGAAGCAGCATAAAATACTTGGCGATCTGTATACGTTTAAACCAGCACAAGCAATTCTCTCCTGGGAGCTTTCAGTGCAAGCAAGTATTTACACAGGGCGGAACCTGTGAAAGGAAACTTGGTCGCTACCCTTCCAGTGGCGGACTTGGCTGCTCCCATTCCCGAGGGCTTCCCAAACTACTATACAGTTAAGTTTAAATGTTTACTTCTCTCACAAGAGACTGAATGTTTAAATACAATATTCAAAACAAAGTTTTCTGAGATCTCCCAAACTCGTTTTTGCAGAACGTTAGGCACGTTGAGAACGTGCAGTGGGGCAGGGAGAACATTTTGGTGGTGTGACCTGAATACAGGTCAACGCCACGAGACATCCTGAGCATCTCCCGAAGGGCTCCTGCTGGTACACAACCCAGGCAGTTGCGCAGCTCTCTGCCCTTCACCCGCGCGACCCTCTTCCCCCTCGCGCACGTCGTACCAAGCGGTCATGGGGGTGCAGACTGCAGTAGCTACTGGACTGTGGAATATGAGACGAGTTGCCCAGCATCCCTCCGTAACCGGGCTGGTTCATCCCGCTGGAGGAGCTCCACGGGTCACTGCTGTGATGGCCATCTGCAACACAGAAAGAAAGCACAGCTTTCTGAAGCCTCTAAATCTTATATAACTGCTCGGTTTTGCCCTTCTGCAAACTCTGAAACAACCAGCCTAACAGGGCCGCGTGCACCCAGCGTCCGGCTGCATTTGTAATCGCTCGCAGTAAGAGACGGCAGCTGCGAAAGGAAGGCCGTACGTTGCCTTTCTGGCTCCTGAAGGCCACATAGCTTTAACACACAGACAAGCTCCTAATGAAAAAATGAAGCTGAGCTGAGCAGCAGCGTATAACAGCGTCATCCTGAAATGCATTATGTTTGCCACATAGCTTCTGCTTGAAAGCTTCCTGCAGCTTTATTCCTTCTGTTGTATCTTAAACTCAAGTATATAAACTGAGTTGTAACAAATTTCATCAGGGATAAAAGTCTGAGCTTTGAAATGAAATAAACTAAGTCTATTCATTAGAATTAGTCTGGGCTAATAAGCTCTGGACAATGCCTTAAGCTAGTTAATGATCTGATATGTCCCGAACTTTGAATTTTTCCACATCCAGAGAGTTTTTCTGAGGTTTTTTGTTTTTTTTTTTTTGTTTGGATAGTGTTGGTTTTTGGTTGTCTGGGTTCTTACTTTTTTAAGGAAAAAAAAGGTAGCACCACTTGTATTGTGTCTTCTTTTAGGGATTTCACTGCTTCTGCTTCTAACATGCATGGCATCCACCCTTCCACTGAATTCACTGCAAGGTGCGATTTGCACTAAAGATTACGAAACAAGGTTCCCCACATTTTACCAAGTGATAGAGCTAGCTGTACGTTTTGCATTTAACTAGATATTTTGAAATGGAGTCATAATAATCCAGTGAAAAATTCCAGTGGAAGAATGCCACCGTTTTAACATTAAAAAAAAAAAAAAGATAACTTTTCCGTAACGATCAGCAGACCTCAAAGAGAGGCACATGGGCTGGAAAAGCTATCAGCTTTTGCAAACTACAAGAGTTGGTCTAATAAAAAATTATTGTGTCTCAGCTTCAGCCCTGCCTTATTCATATCCTTCAGAAATCCTGGCAACAACGCGTCTAGCATAACCTTCCCATAGTTGTTTGAATAGTCATTTAATGAGATTTATGTCACCAATACAAATCTGTGAGAAGATAATATTTAAAAATACGGAACGCGTTGCAAAGTATAAATATTTAATATCATTAGAAACCTATCAATGTCTACCATTTATAATTCTACAGGAGTTTCGTAACAGTTTGCTCTTTAAGCGGTATTTATTTCCGTTTTAAGCCAAGAGCACCACTTTCTTTTGAGCTGCTGCCCATACTTCCCGGCTCAGGGAACCAGTCTAGATGTAGACTTCCGCACCAACGGAGGGGACAATATGGGTCAACGTTTCTACCGACCTCCTCGTCCATCCTGTCCCGTTTCCACCCACAACGACCCCGCAAGGTGGCAATAAGAACGGCGCCACGACCCACTCCTCCCGCGACCGCTTCCCAGCAGCCTGCCTCCCGCCTCTGCTTAAAAAAAGCGGATCAACTCGAAACCCAGACTGGAATATCCACAAATGAGAGCTGGGGCATGGCAGATCTCACGCTGGCCGGAGGCGGGCAGCCGAGCCGCTCGCTGGAGACCCACTGCCAGTGCCTGCGATTTTCGGTGCTTGGGACTCGAAGCGGCTGCTTCTTTGAGGGTAGGAATTGGAAAGTCGATATAGAGAGAACAAAATCTAATCCCTTGTCCTGCAGATACTTTCACCTGCTGAATCACATAGTTTTACTTATCCGTCTAAAGCTAAGTATATGTGTAAGTGTTTAAAAGCTAATTATTTTGCCCTAAATGTGGCAAAAGATGAGTAGCCTCATTCTAGGTGGATGTTTCCGAACTCTTGGAATTTTATTTACTAAGTTATATGGAATTTCATCTTACTTGCATGTAATCACTGCAAGAAATACAACACGGTAACAGTGAACACATAAAAACTACTAACCCCTTCTCAAACGTGAGCAACTGCGTTCTTAATTTTTACAAGGCTGCTGCAATTCCATATACAACATACAGACGTTCTGGTAGCATTGTATACTTTAGCACAAAAACATTAGCATAAAAACAACGCTACACAAAGTACATACGTGAATTCGTGTGCATTTCCAATATGCATAATGTATGTGCGCACACACGCTGAAAAAACTGCTTCAAGTAACTCAGACGATAAGGACCTGGCAAGCTATTCATTATCCTGTTTCACTGCCGGATCAAAACAAGATGTTCAGAGACGTAATGATCAAATGAAAACTTACAGGTCTTCATTTTAATGGTAATCTTACAGACCGCAAGATGATATTCCTGTATGTCTCGACTACATATAAACCAAAATACAAACACAGAAAACGTATGCAAAATAGATTTCTTCTTGAAAGCAGCATCTTACCTTGCATGAAGAAGGAGCTAGGAAAAGTGCTGGCTGCTGGTTTTGAGGATGGATAACCTGGTGAATCCCTATTGTAGTCGGCAGTGCTTGCTGACGGGGCATAAACCTAAGGAAAAAAAGACTAATTTAGTATGCCTTTAGCAGGAAGCAGGAAAGAAATATTGAGTTTTTACCTCGCTCAGTATAAATCAGTTTGCAACACTACATAATTCTTCTCTCAGAATACAAAAACCTCAGTACATGTGTGACTAGAAAATAAATTTTAGGCTTCAAAAGAAACTCCAGTTTGCCATTTTCCAGCTTTAAACAAGGGTATCTGCAAGGTATTTGTCCAACTATATATTTCTGTAAATAAAATGAGCAAACAGATGTACATACGTTCTTCCTTGAGCGTTAGGGAGCCGAAAATAAACAAGAACTTGAAACAATACTTATTTTCTTACACGGCAGCATACAGGCTTCACACATTTCAGAACAAAAATGAAAACACATCAAATACTTTATTTCCCCAGTGAAAAAATGAGATTTAGAAAGCAGCATTACCAAGAGCACTGAAAATCATAAACATATCTTGGGGTACTACATTCCCATGGTCCGAGCTCTTTCCCGAGAAGCCTGAAAGGACGATTAAAAACCTGGATCTACACGAGACCACCAACGCGGCGTGCGTACGCATCAGGGGAACAAGGCCGTCTTTCCTAGTACTTATTATATGTGCGTGTGCAATAAACTTAGTGCGTGTGCCAAAAAACTAATTTGCTTACATTTGTTTACTAATACCCCAGAGGTTTCTGTAACTCGCCTTTTACAAACTATCTATCTGGTGGATTTCTTGCTTGTGTTTAGTTCAACGGGGAAGAGCATTCAGTTTAAAAAAAGGAAAAAAAAAAAAAGGAAAAAAAGGAAAAAAACCCGCCCGGGCTCAGAAGGCGTAGTTGAATTTCTTCCCTCTCTCTCTTCCCCTGAATTTTGTTCCTGCGGTGGAAGTCGCTCTCTCCAGATGGTCAGGAAGACCGAAGCACTGTCATCTCCTGATGAAAATGGATACCTTCCTGCCTCCATTTTGAAGGAGGCAGCAGATCACAGAGCTGGCAGGGAGCCGGCTCCGGCACGCACAGGTCACAGCGAAAAGCAGAGCGCGAGCCGCCAACGAGACG